CACACACACACACACACACACACACACACACACACACACACACACACACACACACACAGTGGGTGTGAGGATTTGCACTTTCACCCTGCTCTGAGTCTTTCTGTGCCTCTCTCAAGAGATGGCAAGCTGTCTTTCTCTCCCTTTTTCGGAGCAACCAGTGGCCAGTTACGTTACACCGCCAAATTTGGCTGTTGATTGTGATCAACAGTTTGATGATTGGACATGCTACCATCGAGCGATTGTTCATGCATCTCACTTCGCTTTGGTCTAGCCGGCCCGCTGCTGCTCAGATGTCATTCAAAGTCGAGCTCACGCCACCACTCCCTCTGACGCCATCCGACAATTGCAGCCATTGATATGGATGGAGGCTGAGGATACGCTCAAGAAATTGCTTGCCGCGCCAACACTGGTTGCACCTGTCTGTAGCTGAAAGCCCAGGATTGGGCCAGATTTTGGCCCACAAGTGGACCAGGTTTAGGGTTTGGCCCATAACTGACCCAGGTTTGGCCCGGAACTGTTTGGCCCAGCTGAGGGCCCAGGTTTGGTGGAGAACAACCACCTCCTCAACGTTGAAAAGTTTCAGTGGACCTGCTGCAATTCATAGTACGCCAGGTAAACCCAAAGCTTCCACATTGCCAGGGCGAGAGAAGACAAGCTGCAGCCAAGTACAACATCCAATGACAGAAAGAGCCAATCAAGTTCACCTGGATTAGTTAACGGAGGATTAAAAAAAAAAAAACCTGTTTTTTTTTAATTATTATTATTATTATTATTTTTTTTTTCAAGTCCTCCACTAACTAAGTCAGGTGAAGTTAAAAAAAGAAAACTGTTCAGTGAGCCTGAGCCCGTCATTCTGGTATTCTTTTTGTACCAAACTTGTGGTCATTTAGCATGCACATAGGTGGCCGGCCAGGATGGTCTGGCCCCACTACCTAGGCGTGAACCTGGACAAATGCCAGAGCAGGTTCATCCAGAGCCCTCAATGAGCACAGAATACTGGACTCGTCAACATGAATTGCCAAGACATCACAACCTTCACAAGCAAAAGGAAATGAGGTTTCACAATCGCGTTCGGCATACATGCAAATATCCTATCCCTGCTACGCCGGGTGAGATCCGATCATTACATGCCATACATGTGCTGAAAAGGAGGAAGGAGGGGACAGGACAATCAACTTCTCACAACACTCTTGGTGATCGAAAGCTAACGACTAAACCCGAACATCCATAAACAAGCATCGCAAGACAAGATTGGAAATCCGAAAGGATCGCTAATAAAAGGGAATTCACATTCATTCCATGCATACATACGAAGTAAGAACGACAAGGAAAATCCGAGGCGATTTACAAGAGAAGTCCAAAAAAAAGGCCGCGATAAAATCGACCATATCCGGATCCAGAATTATACAGATGAACAAAGGAAAGAAAGGGACAAAGGAAAGAACCTCATCCCACACCCACAACTACTCTCTCTCTCTCTCTCTCTCTCTCTCTCTCTCTCTCTCTCTCTCTCTCTCTCTCTCTCTCTCTCTCTACCCCTGATGTTGGCAGTCCGTCGCCTTGCATCCACACAGAGTTGTCACCCCGCTTAGTTCGAATATGCAAGCCAGGTTCGCCCGTGCGCCAGTCCATCGCGGCCCGCACGTCAACCCCCCATACTCAGCATCAGCTCGTCGGATCGCCCAACTCTCGCACTCACTCACCTTCCAGACTTGCTCGTTAGCCGACCCTCACTGATCGCGCTAACCTCGAAATTCTTAGAGAGCAAACTAATCGCGCTTGCGAAATTTATAGCATGCATGCCTGCGCGAAAGGTACGGGATTAAGCCCAGGTGGACAAGAGGAGAAGAGAGGAAGTGCCTACGTCTGCATGGCCAAGCCGCGGCGTGGGGGTCGTAGCCACGCTCCAGGCATCGATCCGGTCATGCAGGCGCTTCGACCAATCAGAACAGCGTATGCGCAGCGAGGAAGAAGGAGAAGGCGGGTAAACATGAGGAAACCAAGAAAGAAGAAAGATACAGTTACAATCGCGCCCACCAAAAACGACAACTACACATGATTAAGGGCGCGATCCAGTCAGAGCCTAGTTCCCAGCGCAGCAAAATGCGCACAAGCGCGGCACAACAAAATTCAAAGTACCTAAATTCCTAGCTTAAGTCCTAATTGCAAAAGAAAATTCCGAAAAAGTAGAAAAGAAAAACAATTCCGCGAGCCCGTGAGGGCTCGTCATCAGTTGAAAATTCAAAAACGATATTCCTGCGCGATGATCGCACCAAAATTCCCAGTGCTCACAGCAGAACAAGAAAGAAGCTATGGTACAGTTATTTCTCGCGCTCGACAAGGCGCGGCTACCCAACCATTGGTACGGGATTCTTCTGACACCGATCCGACAACTCCCAGCAGACAGCGAAAAGAAACGAGGACGTCCATGCAATTTGCCCGCCTGACCCATCTTTCCGCAACTCACCCATCCAACCCGTCTCATTTCCCCAGGCAGCTTCGCGCAGAAAGTCGCGCAATTACAGAAAAATGGTTCGTCACACTGCAGCCTACCTCTTGTCTGGAGATCCCTCCAAAGCCCACTTCATCTCCAAGGTAGCATGGAAATACATCATTATGAAGAAATCACAAGGCGGGTTGAGGATCCTCGACCCTGAGACACAGATCAAAGCGCTACAATCCAAATGGATCCTCAAACTAATAACTGACCACAACCTTCCATGGAACGAGCTGGGCCTATAGAGAATAAACAACCTAGTCAAACTCAAAACCCCTAACAATATGAGAGGGTTATTATGGATCATGGCCAAATCTTGGGCAATGAAGGGCACTCCCAGAGAGACACAGCGAGAAGGTCAGGAGAACGACCAAAAGGAGGACTTCTGGCACCAACTTATGAAAACATGGAGAGAAATCTTACCGGCCAAAGTAAGGGAACCGACAATCAAAGAAGAGGTCCTAAGGCAACCGCTTTTCTGCAACCAATGGTTGCCAGACCCACAAGGCAAACCCTGGACACTAACAGCAAAATATGCTAAATGGGGCTCCTGGCTCGAAAAAGGAGTATGGCAGATCAAGCACCTCTGGCAGAACGAGGAAAGAAGGTGGAAAACAGTCGAGGAATCAAGGAACTCCATAAAAGGCTGTCAAAATTTGCAAGAAAACCTGAATAGGATCAGAAACTCAATTCCGGAAAGATGGTCAGAGTTGCTAAAAGGTTCAGTCGGCTGGAACCCAGGGGAATGGGCAACAAGAAAGACAGATAACCCCCCCTCCGAGGCCTACCTCTTCTGCACTAGAGAAGGCCCTAGACATAACTGGCTAACCTGCGACATTTACACCGTGGAGAATCCAGGAGCAACGACAAGTCTCTTGCTCAATAATCCTACAGGAGGAGTAACCCTACTAGAAAGCACTCTACGGAAAGTAAGAGTAGTGGAGACCGGAGAGCGCCGGATCTACAGCCCCCAAACCAATATAGCAGACCTAGCACTAGATCCAGCAGAGTGGGTATGGAAGCTAAGAACATGGAGACTTAATATCGAGAAAAGAGTTAACATACTAGAATACACCACGAAGTTAGGCTACACACTAAGAATGAGATCCTCCCCCTTAACTCAAATAATTAGCCAAAGATGGGAAACGCAATTCAACCAGCCAGCAGAACGCACAAGAGTTGTTTCATGGAACGATATTAATGCCAGCACATCCACCAAAATAAGAAGCTTCCAATGGCTAGTGGTACACCTAGCATTGCCGGTAAATAAATGACTAAACAATAGACGCAACTTACTTTCACGCTCACCGCTAAAGGAACTCTGTGCAATCTGTCAGGAGGGCAGGGTAGAAGACGTGGAGCACTGCCGCCTGAGTTGTCAGAAAGCCAAACAGCTCTGGGCCAAAGCAACCGCTTTATGGCAAAGGATATCAGGCAAGCCTCTTCCCTCGGACCCAGTCGTACTTCTGCTGGGGCTACACACTCCCCCCAATTGGCAGGGCTATGAGATAACATTCTACCACATACTCAGAAGAGCGTCGCTTTGGATGATATGGAAGCGCATATGCCAAGAAACAATAGATCAATCACCAATGATGCCACAGGAAGGGTGGGAAGGGATGCTACAGATAATAGAAGTGGACTACAGAGGACGTTGGAGGAGGACTAGCAGGAAAAAATCAGAAAATATAGAAAACAAGGATAAAATTACAGAGGCCTTTACGAAACAAGTCCTGGGAGAAGGGAAAATAGCTTCAATATCTAGCGGCCGAATCCACTTCACCCAATGGAGACACAACACGTTACCTCCAGCACAAATCTCCGAACTGCCCAGAAGTAGATCCCACCTTACTGGTATGTCCATAAGAACCAACTAAGAAAACACGAGAGAACATAATGGGGGAAGCACGAGCGAAGCCACTTCAACCAAGGGAAACACAGCACAGCACTTCCACCCCAATCGCCGAGTTAACCAGAAATAAACCTCACCTTTCTAGTATTTCCATAAAAATCGGCTATGAAAGGGCAAAACCCTCTAGGAACCTTACGGACGTAGCTTTTATAAATAAATAAATAAATTAATTAATTAATTAATTAATTAATTAATTAATTAAAAAAAAACACAATCTGCACAAAACAGACGACCCGAGTAGCCTAGGGTTCAGGGTTTAAGAGAAGGCAAAAGACAGAAACAATAGTGCAGACAGGAGTCAGAATACCGCAAGCTGAGAGAGAGGTTAGAAGATAAAACCCCACAGAGCTCAAGAAGTTAGCAAGTTCATACGGGTCCCTTGTTATGATCGGGTAGAGCTGTGTAGAAACCATTTTAAAGCAATCCCTTAGACGCCAGCCCCCGACATCTGCTCTCGCGCACAGGCTTATCCGACAGCACCCAGGTGAGAGGAGCTAGAAGCTAGGCGACCCAGAGGATCAGAAGGTAGTGAATATAGGCTAACTTAGGCAGGGGTAAGACAAGCGAGCATAATGGGAGGAGCACGGTCGAATCCACTTCAATCAAGGGAATCACAGCACAGCACTTCCATCCCAATAGCTGAGTCGACCAGAAATAAACCTCACCTTTCTAGTATTCCCATAAAATTCAGCTATGAAAGGGCAAAACCCTCTAGGAACCTTACAGACGTAGCTTAAGAAAAAAAAAAAGAAAAAAAAACAAAAAAAAAACACAAGCTGCACAAAACAGACGACCTGAGTAGCCCAGGGTTCAGGGTGCAAGAGAAGGCAAAAGACAGAAACAATAGTGAAGACAGGAATCAGAATACCGCACAGCCCAAAAGCTGTGAGAGAGAGAGGTTAGAAGATAAAACTCCACAGAGCTCAAGAAGTCAGCAAGTTCAGGCGGGTCCCTTGTTATGATCGAGTGGAGCTGTGCAGAAACCATTTCTAAGCAAACCCTTTGATGCCAGCCCCAGACATCTGCTCTCGCGTACAGGCTTATCCGACAGCACCCAGCTGAGAGGAGCTAGAAGCTAGGCGACCCAGAGGTTCAGAAGGTAGTGAATATAGGCTAACTTAGGCAGGGGTGAGGGGGGGTACATCCTTCCCTAGGGAAGTAATCAATGCCGTCCACTCGGGCCTCTCAACCATAATGGAGAGGAGTGTGCGCGTGTTTTCATTGTATTCAGCTTTGACTTGCCGGGGGAATAGGAACCGGACTGTTGCTTCCCAGAATGGCAGGAGCCAGAACCAAGAGGTTCCGTATTAAAAAATAATAATAAGAATAAGAATAAAAAAAGAAGCGTTCAACATATCAACAAAACGCCAACTTTTTCATTATTGGTCCAAACATGTCAAAACTGGACACATGACATACCCTAAAGCACCTACATATCACGCAAAACGAAAAACAAGAAAAAAAGCAAGAACTCAGGGCAATCCAACAGTTTCAGTGCAAAATTCGGCACAAAAAACAACCCCGTTCAACCACGTGTGACTTCTGCAGCAATCCTGTGAACTCCCTTGGAATCATGTACATTGATAATTGAAGAGGAAGAAAGGAGGAGGCAGGGAGGGAAGGGTGGAGAGGAAGATGAAGATTCGGTGAAAGGATTTATGGTTGGAACGGGCTTCGAAAAGGCTGGAAGCAGACACATTACCTGAAGATCTCCGAGGGTTCGCGTCTGGAAACCTGCTGCGCAGTATGTGAAATAGTAGTCCCAAGTCCGGATGAATGCATCAGAGAATCCTAGATCCTTTATCTCCCTGGCAGAAGGTCACAGAAGGACAAAGGGTTAGAAAATAAAAACAGGTGCAGCTCTGCACCAATAGTTTGGAACACTCCCCTGGAATGCTAGCCGTGTCTGATCTTACTGCTGAGGCCTCCCGGCCTGAATTTGGACTTGAAAGTCTGGATCTGGACTGACCCCTGGACTTAGACCAGAACTGGGACTGTGCCTATTGACTTTACTTTCGGCACAACTCTCAACGAACAGACATTTACTGCTTGAATAGACACTTTACTTTGCACCAACAGGTACACTGCCTGCACGTACAGACACACCCTTACCCGAACAGACATGACATACACATCTCCTGGTGAACAGGTAAGTCTTTTGACAATGCCCTTTGCCTTAGCTTTAGATATGCCTGTTGATAGAGAACTTGACCTTTGACCTGCTTTCACGTTTCTGAGCTCTGGCGAGATACCTTTTCACAATGCTTTACTTTTTCAAGGCCCGTGCTGCTTTATTTTTACAAGGCCTGAGGCCTATATCGGGTAAAGGCCCTTTTATTACCAACACATGATTGAAAAAAAAAAAGAAAAGGATACAGGTTATTACAGAGATAAAAAGGACTGTCCTTCGGGACATCCATTAAAATTGGAACGATACAGAGAAGATTAGCATGGCCCCTGCGCAAGGATGACACGCATAAATCGAGAAATGGTCCAAATTTCAAAAATACAGAGATAAAAAGGACTACTACTTTTTCTCATAAGGATCCCTCCCTTCTGTCTTGAAAGTTGAAACCTTTTTTTTTTTTGGAGGGGGGGGGAAGTCCATCGGGGCTACTATTGCGGGCGATAAGAGTGTCGCCCAATGGCAGCCTTGGGTTGGATGGCACCAATCCAGTCTATTAGTGGGGACCCTCCCTCCAGCCATAATGGACATGTTTCAAAGTTAACTCAACCATCTCTGAGATAATTTTGAATGGAACACAATCCCATTCCTCGCTGTTGGTCTTATTTGCCCACGATGCCCCTTCACCGCTCCCTTCTACTTGGACTTCATAATTTCCGTTACCTTAGAAGAAATGTAAAAGCCAGTGTAACAGCCTGCATCCGGTTTCCAGCAGTTGAAGCTCCCCACCAATAGAACGGAGTCATCCCCAGCAGGGCTACTATTGTGGGAGGCTCATATCACTCACGATATCAGCCCTGGCGGGCAATTGAAAAAAAAAAAAGGGAAAGAAGTGAAAAAAGAGTAACTGCCCTGTGGGTAGAGTCACGAGGGAGACGGCTAAACATCTCCTTGATGCACGTTTATGTACAGCCCCCTTCCCCAAAGGAATGGCTGTGGACAAGCCCCATCGGGTCTCCAGGTGAATAAACATCATGTGTTTATTGCAGCCCCAAGCCCCATCAAAAAATGCATCTGCATCTGCGGTGCCCCTTCATTCGTTTTCGATAATTGAATGGAGCAGAACTTGTTTCTTTTTTTTTGCTCTTTTTTTTTTTTTTTACCGAAACCGCTGCACGCAACCAACTAGTCGAGGTGGTAAGAGCATTCGCCACTACCGTCTTCCCCCCAACACAACGCACCCTCATTTTGAGCGCATCGGACCGGAAACATAGCCTCTATACATTCATAATGAGGGTGCGTTGTGTTCGGGGGAACACGGTAGTTAGTGCCACGTTGCAGATGGCTCCAATCTATTGGTGGGGAGCTGCACCTGCTGGAAACCAGCTCCCGTGTCCCTTTGCCAAGACCGGAGCAAATTATACAAAGCAGAACAGCATTGATTGCCCTCTTTACGACGAGATTAACCGTCTGCGTAATCACAAAACGGCCCATTGTCGACCTATCTAGCCTACCAATTGTCGCCCGATTCATTAACATCATGCACCAGCATCATCGTGTTTTGTTTTGGTGCCCTAAAACAGATTGGAAACGACAAAGATCTGGCAGCTGACAAAAACGGCAGGTTGCATATACTCTTGTTTTTTTTTTTTAAAGGGGCTGGGTAGAGATACTTGGATTCGAAGAGAAACAATGTGAAAAACCAGCAAGAAGAAAAGAAACCGCTGTGACATATCCCTTCCCCCCCCTCTCCCCTTCTTTTTCCCCAAGACTGGGCTATCCCTAACCCTCATAGTGGAACCTTTGGACAGACAAACCTAACACTCACCGCTTGTGTGACATAAAATTCTCCCTCCATCTCAGAAGTGTGGTCGCATAATGTGTGCCGATGTTCTCAACATGCTCCAAACTGCATGGACGCATCAACAGCAGGAACAACAGAGTTTATACATAACTAGTAACTTATGTGCTTTTTCTTTTCTCTCTTAATGTTAAAAGTTGGACCATTTCCTTAACAAGAGAAAACGTTGGACCGTTTGGCCCTTTTTTTTTTTTTTTTTTTTTTTTAAACAAAAAAAAAAACAGAACCTTATGGCTCTGGCTCCTTATCACTGGTTTGAAGTGCTTTTTTCCCCTTACAAAACAAACAAAAAAACAAAACAAAACAAAGAGCTGGACCATTTCCTGACTTCTGTGAGATGACGGGCATTCTCAACCAGGCCATTGGCCTGAGGCAAATGTTCAGGAGAGTACAAAAATAAAAAAATAAAGAAAATCTTGCTACTGCTTTGAAAGATAGACGGTTCAAACAAGAGGCAACGAGGGTTTGGCTTATTGAAGAGTTATTTAAAAGGTACAGGTAAGACAGCAATAGTGGAAGGCTAGTCATAGTGTTTCAACCTCTGGAACAGATAGTTAGGTTAGGCTAGGTTTTAGGATAGAGCAAATTGTCCGCTCCGTAGGGTTTCGGGTTTAAGTGGAGTGGACAGAGAGGAGGAGGCGTCGGGGGTGAAGGGAAAGATGAGTCACAGCGGTCTGTTTTAGGGCCCAAGATGGGGACGGATGGAAAGTTAGTACACAGGTTCTTTCACCTTCGCTATTTTATCTTTTGTTAATCCAGTTTTACTCATACTTGCGGCGCATGTCGTGCGTGGCACTTGCGCACGTGCGCCGCATCGCGCAGAGCGCGCATGACGTGCGCCGCATGACCTAAATTAAGGGTACACAAAAAAAAAAAAAATTCAGGGGGCGGGGTGCAAGTGAGAGGGGGGGTTGTCGTAAAAATGAAACCGGGCCCGCGCAATTTTTTTCCGGGCGGCGCCAAGGCCCGGAATTTTTTTTGGTCCCAACGTTCGAATTCAAACGCTGGGTGAGGTGATCTCCCGCCCAGGCCGCCAGACACTTCACTCGTGTCCTCCACCTCGTCCTCCCGCTGCCGTCCTCATCGAAGAGTCGAAGACCCTCGGCCATCTTCACGCCTCGGCCGTCTTCACCGAAGTCCTCCGTCGGCCATCCTCCATAGTCAGACAGCAGCGCGAGGCCAGCCGCGGGGTTGGAGGCTTGCCAGTTCGCCGATGCATTGGTCATCCTGTTGATGGAAAACTCTCTCTCTCTCTCTCTCTCTCTCTCTCTCTCTCTCTCTCTCTCTCT